GGGAGACCCAGAGAAATTTCCTGGCTCCTGGCTTTGGATTGGCTCAGCTCCGGCCACCGGGGCCACTTGGGGAGTAAGCCAACAGATGGAAGATTTTCCTTTCTGTCTCTTCTCTTTGTAAATCTGACTTTCCAATAAAAATAAATATGAAAAAGGAACCAATAATGGTCACTAACTTTCTATGGAAATTCTGTATTTGGGATGCAAGTCTCTCCAGGCATAAAACCAGAACTATTTTGGGGAAGTATACATCCATATCCTGAGGTATGTATGTCTCTAAACTCCATCATTTCTGGTTTGAAGGTCATTATTCTTCATGTGAATTTGCCTAAGATTTTTGTCCAGAACATCTTCCAGTTTAAGACTCATCTACCAGCCACGTTGCTCACCTTTTAAAAAAATTTTGTCTACTTTTATTGGAAAGGCAGAATTACAGAGAGAAGGAGAGACAAAGAGAAAGATTTTCCCTCTGTTAATTCGCTTCCCAAATGCCCACAACAGATTGAGCTGAGCCAATTCAAAGCTAGGAGCCAGGAGCTTCTTCCAGGTCTCCCAGGTGGGTGCAGGGTCCCAAGGCTTGAAGCCATGCTCTGCGGGCTTTCCCAGGATAGAAGCAGGGAGCTGCATGGGAAGTGGAGCAGGTGAGACACAAACCAGCACCAATATGGTATCCTGGTGCTTGCAACATGAGGATTTAGTCAACTGAGCCATTGTGCTGGCCCATGTTGCTCTCCTTATACAACATTTCTATACCCCCTAACTGCTCTGCAGGGAACAAGAACAAGGCAAAATGTGCCACTGAAGGATTTGAAAGAAAACTGTAAAAGCAGGCAACAAAGCTTCTAAAGATCCCTTTGAAAGGAAAGGCACAAAGTAGGGAAGAATGGAATGAATTCAAATTATTAGTAAGACTAAAAAAAACAAGACAATCAGCTGGAACTGAACTGTTAAATACCAGAGAAAGCTGCTTATGGTTAAACATCAGGGGTCTGCTGTCAGAATTATTCTTGTTCACATCTTCTCCCCTGTATCCTTCTGCATTGTATCACCATGGCTTCCTCTGCTGATGGTCCACAATTCCTTCAGGGTGCTGGCATTTCATGGGTAGTAAGGAAGGTGCAACATGTGTGTCTTATAAACACTTGATTTCACACGGTGACATGTGAGTATGAAACAACATCAAGCCGGGGTAGACAGCATAGGACATCCAACAAGCAAATGTGTGCAAATTAGGGGTACAAGTCCAAAGTCCAGAATACACAGAGTCTGGTATATTCCTCGGTCAGCCAGCCCTTACCATGAAGAGACAAACCCTGGGCCAATACATACAGTGAAAAGAGCAGCCCTTTTCCTGATATAATCCCTTTTCAATAAATTTATTGTGGGATCAAAGCTGCTGACACCCATGCCCTCAGGTCTGGTCAACACAAGACTTTCTACTAAGATTCTGTAACCGGACACGTAGTCATCATCTTTTAAGTTTCTGCAGGACTCTACACAGTCATTGTTGCAGGAAATGTGGCTTGGGTCCCAACAACCTAGCACATTAAGGCAATAATAAAACATGTAGCTCAAGGAAATGTAAATAGAGCAAATCACAGCAGGGACAGAGCCCTAAACCTGACAGCGTCACAAAACTTCATCAAGGTGAACGTCTCTTTCTCAGTATGAATAACACAAATACAGAGACAGAAACTGCCATGTAACTGCCATCAGCGCTGACTTTCTAAAACACAGGGCAGATTATACCTTAGTTCGACATGAAGACTTCCTATGGGTCCCTCTGTCCAGTGGGGCACAGCATACAAGTTCCCGCACATTTACCCTCTGACCTGTTTCTCGCTGCCCGGTCAGCCACTCACATTACTCACTTTCTGCTCCATTGGTTAAGTTGTTTTCATTACTGAACAGTCACGAGTCAATTACATCACAGAGCTGATAACCACATCAACCCCGCCTGCAGCAGAACAAAAGCTAATCGGCTGTCTTTCTGATGGTATTAATTCCATGATCCAGTGATTCCAGAAATCGTGTTTTTAAAACGTGTTCAGTTATTTACTTATTTGAATGGTAGAGTTACAGAGAAAAGAGAGAAAGAGAGACAGATCTTCCACTTGCTGGCTCACTCTTCAGACTGCAATGGCACAGTCTGGGTCAGGTCAAAGCAGGCAGCTAGGCGCTTCATCTGGACCTCCTATAGCAGTGGCAAGGGTCCAAACTCTTGCGCCATCTTCTGCTGCCTTTCCAGGTGCACTGGCATGGAGCTAAATTGGAAGTGCAATAGCTGAGACCTAAACTGGTTCTCCCATATGGGATATTTGCATTTGTAGGTTCAGCTTACCCACTATACCATAACACTAACTTTTCATAAATCAAGAGTTTTAAATTGTTTTGTGATGCATGCTATGAGTGTACATCACAAATGGATAGAAAAAATTCGGATTCATACTAAAGATTAAGGGATGGTTCTTGGGCGTAATGAAAAAAAAAAACCTTTTTAAAGATTCATTTATTTTTATTCGAAAGGCAGATATACAGAGAGGAGGAGAGACAGAGAGGAAGATCTTCCGTCCAGTGGTTCACTCCCCAAGTGACCACAACGGCCAGAGCTGTGCCAATTCAAAGCCTTGGGACCCTGCACCCACATGGGAGACCCAGAAAAAGCTCCTGGTTCCTGGCTTCAGATTGGCTCAGCTCCAGCTGTTGCAGCTGCTTGGGGAGTGAACCACTGGATGGAAAATCTTTCTCTTTGTTCTCCTTCTCTCTGTAAATCTGATTGTCCAATAAAAATAAATAAATAAATCTTTCAAAAAAAGATATTCACTCATTTTTATTGGAAAGTCAGATTTACAGAGAGGAAAGACAGAAAGATCTTCCATTTGCTGGTGTATTCCCCAAGTGGCCAGAACTGAGCTGATCCGAAGCCAGGAGCTTCTTCCTGTGTGCAGGGTCCCAAGGCCTTGTGCCGTCCTCTACTTTTCTCCCAAGCCACAAGCAGGGAGCTGGATGGGAAATGGAATAACTGGGACACGAAACCAGAGCTCCTATGGGTTCCTGGCACACACAAGATAAGGATTTAGCCGTTAGGCCATTGTGCAGGGCCCTGAGGCCAGAGCTGTTCTAAGGGGTTTATATGAGTTATCTGAATAATCTCCACAACAACTCTGTGAGTGAGAGAGTTGACAACCTCAATTTATAGGTGAAAACCTGAAGCACAGAGGGTTAAGCAATTTGCTCTTGGTTAAGTTATTTAATTAACTTGAAGGCTTATACAGATGATTAAAGGATGATCACATTTATATAAATATGATAAAGGAAAATACCTTTAAACCACACAGATATATTCATGCTAACTATGTACTAAAAGCTTTAATTTTTGCAGGCAGGTCTTATTTCAAACTACTCATAATTTCCCATGTTGCTTCCTTACCTCACTGAAACTGAATCTTTAAGAGAAAAAAAGGTTGGTTTACAACAAAAAGAGGGCCCAGCATGATGGTTCAAGGGCTAAATCCTCATCTTGCAAGCGCTGGGAACCCATATGAATGCCAGTTTGTGTCCCGACTGCTCCACTTTCCATCCAGCTCTATGGCTGTGGCACGGGAAAGCAGTGAAAGATGGCCAAAAGCCTTTGGACCCTGCACCTGCAGAGGAAATTTGGAAAAATCTCCTGGCTCCTGGTTTCAGATCACTTCAGCTCTGGCTGGTACAGATACTTGGGGAGTGAACTAGCAGATGGAAGACCTTTTTCTCTGTAAATCTGATGTGCTTTCCAATAAAAAATAAATAAAACTTAAACACACACACAATCCACAAAGGAAATGCAGTAAAGTGGCTATTTATTTTGTGAAATCATCAATTTTCAAAAATTCATTTATGTTTGTTTGAGTAGTAAAGTACAAAATGTCCTGTCTTTTCAGAACTTAATGTGGACTGGGCACTCCCACATCCCGTACTGAAGGCCCGAGTTCGGGTCCCAGCTCTCGCCTCCCTTCCAGCTTCTGCTAAGGCACACCCTAGAGACCAACTGCAGCTCCAAAGACCGATGGCAGACATACTTGGGTCTCTGTCACCCAGCTGGAGACTCGGATGGAGTTCTTCAGCCTCACCCAGCCACAACTGTCGCAGGCCATGGGGGAATACACTGGGGGCTGGCAGGTCTGTGTGTGTCTATTTCTGTTTCCCTGCATTTCAAATAATTAAGTGTCACTGCAACCATCTGGAGAAGTCAGTGGATAGAAGATTCTCTCTCTCTCTCCTCTTTCTATAACTTTGACATTCAAGTAAAAATAAATTAATCTTTAAAATAAAAATCCATTTAAAAACAAAAAGAATGGATTTACCTTCTCATAAATATGCTGCGGTTCAGCCGACCTGGTGAGGCCTGTGGGAATTCTGCCTCAGACAGCTGGTTTTTTGTCTGCTTGTTTGTTAAACTGAAGTTTATCTCGTGGTTTCTGTGTTTAAAATGGCATCGAGAGGTTCCCTTCTGTTAGCTAGCCTTCCTTTAGGGAGAGAACTGCTGTGTTGTCTTTTGTTTGCAGGCACAAATGACAAGGTGACCCTAGCTATGCGTGGATAATAAAAGCCACTCTCATTTTATAACCCCATTCTCACCATCCAGTGCTTTGCCACAATAATTAATTATTAAGCTTAACCGTGTCGCCGACACGGAAGTAACAGATTACAAATGAACAGCAGAAGAGATCTCTGTCAAATCCATCATCGGCCAAGTCAGTTTCTGCGTTCTATGTTGTTTGTGTGTGGAAGGCACGTGGAACTACTCAGTTGTTAAAAAGCAAATACGACAGACACTTGTTTGGTGTCTGGTGTTTAGTTGCTTTAGATACAAGTGAAAAGAAACTTTCACCTGGGATACATACATGTACATATATGCACTTTCACTGAAACAAGGAGTGAGGAAACTGACAGCATTAAACATTGGTGTTTTTAGGTTGAAAAAAACAAAAAGGGTGAAATATTTTACAGAAAATTCTTACCTTACAAACAGAAATTACATTAATATTTATCAGTTTCCTGATGGTCTGTAAAAAAGAAATTGATAATTATATGTACATATATATATATGTGATCAAAAAAGTAACCATGTGAAATCCACTTAAGACAACTCAGAAACACCCTGACACCATCTACAAATACTGCAGAGACCCTGACAGGCTACCCTGGGAAAGAGGTGAATTTTATTTTACCCTTCGCATCACAGCATTTTTCCAACCGCAGCACAATTCACACTAACATGCAAAACCTAAGGTATACTTGCAAGTATTGCAACTGCCTCTCGGCTAACCTGGACAGTAATCAAATAATTTAAGAACAGTGGCACAGTCCTTCGATGACGTGCTTTCCTAGTGCCCATCCAAGCCCGAAGCATGTGGCAAGGATGTTGCTTTCACGCTGGAAGAGCTGGTTTGCCTGAAGGTTTACGTTGTGGCTTTAAATTAATACAGTTATGAATTTTAAATTTATGTTTAGGCTCGTAAACATTTAAAACAGAGTTGATTTGATGTAATAAAAAAATAAAAGTGTAAAAAATATTTGGATGTAATAAAAATAACAGGAAAACTAGAACTATTATTGAACCTGGCGCTGTATAAATGAGGTTAAACAGATTTTCTCATTCATTCCTGTCCCTCGGTGTGGAGCTGCCTCCCGAGGAGGATGGCCAGGCAAATTCAGTACCCGGACGAGCCAGGCAGCTGGACGCCTCCCAGGCCGCAGCATCTCCCCACACCACTGCTGTCACTGCAACACAGGAAGAAAAACTTACATTGTCCAAGTCAGGAATGTCCAGAAAGTATTCAGGATAGTCGTATGACATTCCCACGTTGTTCACTGAAATGAGACAAGATCATTAGGTAACTAACATGCATATGAAAAACTTAACGAAAATCATGAAACTAAATATATTGAAACAGAAAGGATGCAATTCTGTAAGATACTATTTCTCGCAAGAATGACTTTTCTCATAGCTTTCAATACAAAAATCTATTCTTGAAAGTCCAGTTCAAATGTCCTTCCCTTACAGTCCTGACGAAAGGACCACACTCAACCCTGACTTTGCAAAATCCCTTGTATTCATCTTCTGTAATAGTCACTTAAAGACACGGCTTAACTCTTCTTTAGATCATAAATTTCCACACTGTTGTAGGAAAGACCAAAGACGATTATAGTGGAGCAAGTTGGAGAGTTGAGTTCTAACTACAACTGTCTCCGGAAATGTGTGACCTGGGAGAGATCACATACAACACGTTATCTCAATTTGTTCACCTCTAAAATGGTGTACATTTATTCACTCAACAAACCTTTGCCGTACACTTTTAAGGGGCACACATGTACTAGGAATTAAGAAAAAGCAGAAGGAGAACAAAGTTGTTAGCATGATGGAGTTCACAACCTAGTAGGAAGCAAAGGGCACTCAACTCAAACAGAACCAAACTTTTTTTTTTATTATTATTGCTAAGTGTGGCCTCTTCCCCAAGAGACTGACTCACCTGGGAGGAGGCAGGGGGCTTCTGTTTGTGGGGGACAATGGTTCAGGTGAGAATCATTGTCCCTGACAAATCATCCATGAAAGCCGAGGTCATGTTTTGGCTTTCCTTATATTTCCCCTTTGCTAATCACCCAACCTATGGTTGGGGCTATAAGATATTCAACAAGATATGAATAAACCAATGTATAATTAGGTATTTTATTCCAACTCAGGTATCCTGTGGTTTTCCCTAACTCTGGAAAATCAAAAACCAACAACAGCAATAGAGTAAAAAAACTTTACAGGAATTAAAAATAAAATGTTTTGGACTGAACTTAAAAAATCCCACTTCATGAAAGAGACTACCTGTCTATATGATCTACCTACCCAACTATAAAAACAATCCTCTTAAGGTTAGTCCTGGGATCATTCGCTGATTGTCACTATCACTTGTTTATTGCTGTCGATCAGTTTCCCTGAGACCACCGAGCCAAGTAGGCCAGGATACAAGCAGGAAGTCTGACTTTGTTAAAACTGTCATTTGCCTTCATACAATGTTCAATCTGGAAAAAAAAATCCATAATAACTGAATAAAAAGTCTAATAGAAATGAATAATATGGGTCCGGCATGGTGGTCTAGCAGCTCAAGTCCTCGCCTTGAATGCACAGGGATCCCATATGGGTGACACTTCTAATCCCAGCAGCCCTGCTTCCCATTCGGCTCTCTGCTTTTGGCCTGGGAAAGCAGTTGAGGACGGCCCAAACCTTTGGGACCCTGCACCCATGTGGGAGACCAGGAAGAGCTCCTGGTTTTGCATTGGCTCAGCTCCAGCCATTGTGCTCACTTGGGGAGTGAATCATCGGATAGAAGATCTTCCTCTCTGTCTCTCCTCCTCTCTCTCTCTCTCTCTCTCTCTCTCTCTCTCTCTCTATATATATATATATATATATATATGGTTTTGCAATAAAAAAAATCTTTAAAAAAATAAATGTATAATAGAACTAAGAAATATTAAAGAAAGGTTTCAGTTACAAAAGACTATGCCATTATCATCAGTCTGCTAAAGTTTCTAAGGAATTATGCAAGTGTACCTGATCGTATTAATGGCAACTTTTCCAACAGGCTAACAAAATTAGTAGACAAGAGCCTGGCTAAATCTCACCTTGTAAGTGCCAGGATCCTCCAGGGGTACAGGTCTATGAGCCAGCTACTCTACTTCCCATCCAGCTCCCCGCTTGTGGCCTGGGAAAGCAGCTGAGGATGACCCAAAGCCCTGCAACCCTGCACCTGTGTTAGGAGATCTGGAAGAAGCTCCTAGCTCCTGGTTTCGGATCAGCTCAGCTCTGGCTGCTGCAGCCATTTGGGGAGTGAACCAGCAGATGGAAGATCTTTCTCTTTGTCTCTCCTTCCCTCTGTAAATCCACTTTTCCCATTAAAACAAATAAATGGTGGGTGTCACTACACTGGGGATCCTAGGAATCAACTCTGTAAAAGCTGTGCTAACAATAAACTCAAATTAAGATCAGACTTTATGTTCAATTAATTTCACTTCCACCCCACAAAAATGATAAAGGGTGAATAATTAATTTAGAGTGTGACTAACAGAAAGCAGCAACATCCAGAAGGTCTACGAAAATGCTGCACATCAAAGAAATACTCTTTACGAAGTCCGTCTATGATAACAGAATCCTCAAGTAAATATTTTTGCCAAATTGCATTGTCAGGCTATTCTTTAAAAATCAAGAAAGTACAGCAAATTCTAACCCCCTTCACTCTTCCACAGCCAGAAATTTTTCTTTAGATTTCTTCCTAGCTCATGGAACTATTCATGTTACATTTCAAAATACTAAAGAAAATCCAACAGTATAATTAAGAATCTTTCATTTTTAAAAAAAAACATTTATTCGAAAGGCTAAGTTACACAGAGCGCGAAAAAGACACACGTGCACATGTACACACCCCCCTTCCAACTGGCTCACTCCTCAAATGGCCATCATGACTAAGGTTGTGCCAGGTCGACACCAAGACCCGAGTACTTGGACCATCTGCCGCTGCTCTTTCTGGGCAGACCTCAACAGTGTGTCGAATCAGAAACGGAGAAGCCAGGATTTAAACCAGAGCTCGTATGCGGTGTCAGCACTGCGGGCAGTGGCTTAAACCAATGTACCACAGTGATAGTTCCTAATTATAAATCTTTTGAAATCCAGATTTTTTTAAAGGCTGGGAACTCTGCAAGTTACACTGTAGACCTGTCATCTTTGCACGTACCACAAGTAAGAACCAGAGCTAAGGCAGGATGAGCCACCAGGTAAGTGGAGAGGTGTCGCTCTTACTCCAGCTGCATTCACAAATGCCGGGTGTCAGGTATGCCTCTGCTGAATGAGTAAAACATGTTTAATAATGAGAACTTCAGTCCCAAGGAATGGTGTCATCTCAAAGGGCTATGCTTTTATAAACAAAAGCATACACGCAATTAAAAAGACTGAAGCTGGGAGAGGCTTTTCCGAATTTCAGAGTGGGAAGTGCTTGCCAAGCGTATGCTGCTGCTTTGTCCTATCTGAGGGAGCAGGAATCCTAAATCCTCTCTTGCTTTTTTTGGTTCTACTTTTTGCTCGTGTAATAAATCCTACCCATAACATTCCCACTGTAGGAAATTGCTCCGGAGAGCCATTCTTCAAGAGTAGGGAGACAAGCAAGTGCTACTGTTGTTGGGGCTGTCGAAACGACACAGCAAAAACACGGTGCCTTGGGCTGCCGGTTATTTTAAATTAAAGGCACTTAAGCATCAGCAGATGCTAAATGAAGTTTTTTTTTTTTAAAGATTTATTTTTATTATTTTTTTATTGGAAAGGCGGATATACAGAGAGGAGAGACAGAGAGGAAGATCTTCCCTCCAATGATTCTCTCCCCAAGTGAGCGCAACGGGCCGATACTATGCAGATCCGAAGCCAGGAGCCTCCTCCGGGTCTCCCACGCAGGTGCAGGTTCCCAAAGCTTTGGGCCGTCCTCGACTGCTTTCCCAGGCCACAGGCAGGGAGCTGGAAGGGAAGCGGGGCTGCCGGGATTAGAACCGGCGCCCATATGGGATCCCGGGTGTGCAAAGCGAGGACCTTTAACCACTTGCGCCAGCACGCCGGGCCCCGCTAAATGAAGTTTTTCTCTGAAGTTTCCTTGTTTACTGAAGGACCAGATCCACCAAGGAGGAGCACAATTGCCTTCAATCTTCATATTGATACTTCACTAATCAAGGAAGATTAAACTCATATGGAGAAAGAGACTAAAAAAGCGAACAGCACACCTCCAGTGCAGGGAAACCTCGGCCTAGGCCACGGTCTGTTTCTCTGTACCCATTCACCTCCTGCAAAGAACACCTACCACCCCCTGAAGCTACTTACACCGCCTCATTCCCTCTTCCCTATGAAGAGGATACCGAAGCTTCAACCGCCTGACTCTTCAAAGGTCTGTGTTTCCCATGGCTGCCATGCCCATGTGTGGGATAATACACGTGCATGTCTTTTCCCCCCATTAATCTGTCTAGTGTCACTTTACTTCAGCAGACTCACTGATCCAACTTTGAAAGAGAAAATCTGAACTCTGCTCTTCAGTTATCTCTCAGAACGGCAGAACAGCGGGAATCCTCTGGAAAAGGGAAACTCCTGCAATTCGATTAGGAGACATTAGATGGCAGCAACAACCAAACAGCAGGCGGAAGGCTGTCAGTGACTTGCCAACGGAAAAAACAGGCTTTGAGTAGGAGTCCAGAGTGGAAGCACTGCCATCACCATTTAATCTCATTAAGGACGGTGCAAGCAACACCCTTCCTCCTGTTCCAGGATTCATGACGACTCACAAAAACAATGCCACAGGTTGTTGTGACAACGCTAAGACAACAGAAAATCCCTTCTAAAACGGCACTATCTTAAATTAGCATTAAATAGCCTATTGGCGAGTATTCTTGGATTCTAAAAGTGAGGCCGAGAGATATTTATATTTCGTTGTAAAGACTCACAAAACCATTTTAGGAATGGAACACATCACGTATTTTAGAAAATAAAAGATATCTTGGTAATCTAAAAGCTTCTATTTCTATCTCGATCATCACCATACCTTGAACAATGATTTAAAAAAAAAAACTTCTGCATCAGTTTCCCACTGGAGTTCTTTAATAACTCTTAATAAACAAGATTCTCTTCTTTGTTTTAAAAAAAAATCTATAATTTATTTGAAAGGCAGAGTGATATGGGTAAACAAAGAGAAATTCCCTGGTCACTGGTTCACTCCTCAAATGCCTCAGCAGCTGGAGCTGGACAAGGCTGAAGCCAGGAGCCAGGTGCCAGGCCTTCCACACAGGGCCAGCACCAG